AATAACCAACATGCATTCATCATTCGGGAGGGGCAACTATCTTTATCCCGAGGCCTGATGGGCTAGCCAGTTCTTCAAGGCTGTGCGGAAGGCCTGGACGGTGGTATAAATATAATTATAAGTATAATTATATACTTATAATTAAGGAACACGGTGGCTCAGTGGCTAAGACGCTGAGCTTGTCGATCAGAAAAGTCAGCAGTTCGATGGTTCGAATCCCTAGTGCTGCATAACGGAGTGAGCTCCTGTTACTTGTCCCAGCTTCTGTCAACCTAGCAGTTCGAAAGCATGTAAAAAAAATGCAAGTAGAAAAATAGGAACCACCTTTGGTGGGAAGATAACAGCGTTCCATGCGCCTTCGGCATTTAGTCATGCCGGCCACATGACCACGGAGATGTCTTCAGACAGCACTGGCTCTTCAGCTTTGAAACAGAGATGAGCACCACCCCCTAGAGTTGGGAACGACTAGCACATACGTATGTGAGAGGGGAACATTTACCTTTAACTTTATGCATATAATTATTTACTTTTGTAAGGGTGCGAGAATATATCAGAAGCATTCTAGGGCTGTGGAATATAGAAAAGGTTGGGAACCCCTGCATTAAGTGAAGATTTAGTTCTCATAGAAGCCTAAAATCCTGGGGAAATGAAAAGGAAAGAAGAGGATGATGAGTTGGATGGATTCAGTTACAGAGATGATCAGTGCACCATAAGGAGACCCTGAACACCAAGTTGGAGACAAATTGTCAAGAGACAAAATCTGTCTGTCTGGTCCCTAGAAGTTGCCATCAAGTTGATGGCACACAATCAATTAAATCAATCGCTTTACCTTTTCTATGATATCCTCTGCTTTATCCCAAAGCAGTGTAGCAAGCTTAAATGCCCCTGTATTCATTGCATTCAGGATCTTCTTGGCAGCTGTAGTGACTTCCTTCAAGCCTTGATCATCTAGGAAAGACTGCAGTACAAGGAGTGGGGTGGGGACAGAGCAGAAAGGAAAGAAATTTGAAACCAACATTGCATATAATGCCTCAAGTACTTTCAAAGGAATATAAGCTGGGCATTAAACGGTCCCAATGTCAATGTGTATTTTAACAAGACATTATTTGCAATGGCTTCAAAGAAAATGTAGAGGCTACCTGGAATGCTACACTATTAGTGGGCTTGTAGAATGGTTTTATTAATCTGAGCAAAGTCAACAAATAGACACTATTAGAAGTCTTCAGTAAAGGGAATTGTGATGCTCTAAAGTGTCTCTATGTACCACCAAAGCTTTATATAGTTTCTTTTTAAGTGGATCTTCTCTTATGGCCTATTTGCAGGGTAGATAAATCTCAGCACACTTGAGACCCTGCTACTGAAGCCAGGTTTAATGCCAATGCCATTAGGTAGCATCTTCAGGGGTCAAAAACAGCTAAGGGCAGCTGGAACAGCTGTAGAGAAAGGGGAGCACACTGAGAATATGTACTTGCAGGTATGGAGACGTAAGTGGATCCCAAGTATGCATTGAGAGCAGACATAGCCTTTGAGGCCGAAAAGTTTACCGTGTTTATAAGCAATCAATGTTGATCATAACATTCAATGAACCTGTTGACTTCAATCCCATCTTCAGAGATCCCCAGAAGCTGATCCAACATGGTAACTCTCATGAACAGTCAAAAAGCAGAGGAATAAAAAAAAGGAAGGAAGCATCTAACATATGCTTCAAGCTGGCTCAATGAAATCTATTAATTCCCAGCCTTGAATTGACTCTTTATTGGCAGCAAAACAGGTTCATGTTGTATGGCCAAGGATTAAATTGTGCTTTAAAAACAAAGTTGCATGATTTTTTATATAAAGGTAATTACCATACCTGCATAATAGTAAAATTTATTTACCCTATTTATTAAAGTAGATTCATTTAAGACATTTTTCTTTTTCTCTTTCTCCCCTTCTTTTATTAATTTTATTCAGTTTTTTGTTTTGTATGAACTATATTGTAAAGTTGGGTTTTTCTATTCTTCCTTGTAATTGTAAGAACATTAATAATCTTTTTTTAAAAAAATAGGGAGTGTATACTTACAGTGCTATATAGGTAAGGCCCCCAAGCAAGCACGGAATCTAAAAGAAACAAAAATTAAGATTGGCTTTTTAAAAAACTAAACAAAATAGTGGGCATAAACTTTAGTATCTTTCTCACATTTCTCTATTTAAAGCAGTTCCTGAGCATTTTCGGCATCAAGACAAAATAAGAACTTATATAAAAGCAATCCTTGGCAGCTTTTCAAACGGAGGAGAAGGAAAAGGAGGCAGCAGCATCAGTGCAGGGAAAGAACTCCTAGTTTTTAAAGTGGAGCCTCACAAAATCTCTAAATCCATGGAGATCTAATTTAGCAGCAAACTGTTTATTATTCCAAGGTATCAAAATCTGGTGTCTTCCAGATTGCAAGGATAGCCATGCTGGCTGGGTACTGAAAGGCTTGTAGTCTAACTAACATATCTTGATGCTACCAGGCTGAGGAGAATGACATTAAACTATTCACATTTTAAAAAAGATTTTATTCATATTGCTATTACACATTCTGAAGAATAGCTAAGATTTTGAGGCGGGGGGTGGTGGAATAAACCCTCTGGACTATTTTCAAGTCACAAGAGAAGCCCAACCAAGATTCTGACTGACAACTGCCATTGTGTATCTAGTAACAACATTCTGTTTACATTAATCAAGATCATGTGTTGGCTCTCCTATTCCAACATGCAATACCATTTTTCCCTTAAGATAAAAATTGCCCAGTTTAATCATACTTAAAATAACCAACCAGAAAGTCATATATAATTAAATATTTAATTCTCAGTCGCTGGAATATTAAACTTCTAATAGAAGAGAATATCTATAGCTCAGGGCTGAACTGTAGAGTCCTTGGTGTTATGTGAACTTAGTTATTTGCTTGCAGACATTTCAGTACCTAACTAGGTAACATTATCAGTATTATTTAGTCATGTAATGAAACATCTGCAAACAGAGCACTAAGCTCAAAGAGAACCAAGGCCTACATATTACTTCCTCAGTCTCTAAAAACTGATAGACAAGCAGAACAGAATAATCTCAGTATAAGATAAAATGGGGAGGATTTTAATCCTAAAGCACCCAAAGTCAAGTTGGGATAAAACCAAGCCTCTATAATCTCACTTGAACCTGGTTGCTGGCACTGAATATCAAATTATTCTTATTCCACCCACCCACTCACCCACCCAGATTTTGCCAGAAAGAGGCAAGAAATACATTGGAAGATACACAATAGCACAATGTACTTAGCTCCACATGAATATACCTAGAGGAGAAATCCATGAATCACCAAGGGCTACTCCATGAAAATTGCACTTGATTGTTCCAGCTTGAACAGCCTTAAAAATAGAATGAAGGCTTAATTAAAACCTAATTATTCTGAGGTAAATGTATCATATATTTTCAAGCACCTTCCCTTAAGGGCAGGAAGAAGGCAAAGAGGAACTGCAGATTATTAAAGTAGGTCGATTTCTTAGCTGATGCTATAGCTAAGAAAAGTGCTTTTTTAGCTAAAAGCAATCAAATCTCTAGCAATATCTCACATATGTGGGCCTGCATGTGTGTCAAGATCAGGAAGGTGGTGGATGGAGTGTAAGATTCACCCTTCTGAAAGCTTGTGTAATGATGAATGTGCAAAAGGGGTGGGGCTTGCCTTGGGATGGACTGCTCACCATCTTGCCAGTTTTAATACATCTCTGTGGACTCTTGATGCCCATGCAGTGTTTATTTTAGCTCAGTGCTAACATCATTTGCCTCCACTGTGCTAGTTATCAAGCCCATGCCAGCAATCAAGTCTGAGAGAGACATTTATCTGGCGAGCTTTGTCCTCCCAAGATCTCTTTAATCAAAAATATACTTAATATAAATTTGTACATTACATTTTCCTTCCTTCCTTCCTTCCTTCCTTCCTTCCTCCCTTCCTTCCTTCCTTCCCTCCCTCCCTCCCTCAATCTTCTTCTAAATTTTCTGATAAGTTAGAGAAAACTAAGAGTAACTGCTCAATCACTTGCTAACCTGCGGAGACCCGTGGTGGCTAGAGTGCAGTACTGCAGGCTACTTCTACTGACTGCTCACTGCCAGCAGTTTGGCAAATCGAATCTCACCAGGCTCAAGGTTGACTCAGCCTTCCATCCTTCCTGGGATGGTAAAATGAGGACCCAGATTGGGGGAAACATGTTGACTCTGTAAATTGCTTAGAGAGGGCTGTAAAGCACTATAAAGTGGTATATAAGTCTAAGTGCTAAGTGCTAAGTGCTATCGCTAACCCACAGCTCCTACTGCTGATGTGCGCTTACACAACTGGTTGTAGCAGGGATGTACGATATCTTTTGGCCTGAGGGCCACACCTGATGCTTGAATCACGTGCAAGATCCACATATCCATGTGAGGGGGAGGAAGGGGCAATGAACTGGATGGTATCATTAACATTAAAATAAACTGTTCAACAGCTGTGATTACTCTCTAGATATCAGAAACAACAATAAGTTGTATCTATGGACAGTTTTGAGATGACCCAGGAGAGGGAACAACCAAGGCTTTCTACGAGTGCCTGTGGCCAACTGGCCCACTCTAAGCAATCCTGACTGGAAATTCCAATTTTAGATGACTGGATAAAAAATGTATTGGGACGTGGGAGAGGACTGGAAAAACGTGAGGGTGGAGTGAAAAGAGGGATTAGCCTAGAATCTCTACATGGTTACTAGTTGACCAAGTCCAACACATCTTAATCTAAATCTAAGCAGCTGCTCTTAGTGGAGAAAATTGAAGAAATGTTATGATTTAAATCTTGAGTT